GCATAACTTTTTGCACAGGAGGAATTTTGATGCAAGGTTTGCGGCATTGGAAAGCTTACTTCCGGGGCTTCATCCTAGAGGGTGACCGGCCACCTTGACCCTTTTGACCTGGTCGACCGGCCACCTAAACTGGTCGGCCAGCCACTTGCCTGGTCGGTTGACCACTTTGGCCCTTTTGAGCTGGCCGGCCATTCTTGCCCCTGTGAGTGTATTCCAGCTGTACCAGCTATTCTGCACTTGACCCACTGTTCGAGGGGCTCCCCTTTTGGGCGAAAATTTGATTTGTTTTTTCCCTCTTTTTCTCCACCCCTCTCCCTCTATATAACCAGCCTCTCCCCTTCATTTCTGAGGGTTACAAAACTTGGTTAGGGCATTATACATACAACTTCCATATCTCTCTTATCCAAGCTCCAAAACCCTAATTTCTTGGCCAGTTTTACCCTACAACCCATAGCACCACACCTCTACACTCCATTCTAGCACTTTGGAGGACATTTGAAGAGGTTGGAAGCTCACAAATTTGGTCCAAAAGTTGCTGGTTTGCTGCTCTTCAAGGGTGAGTACTCTCTTCCCCTTTTTTAGTCTTTTCTTACTTCATCTATAAGCCATATTTGCTTACATTTTTGGGCTCCGACCCAAACTAGAAATAGTCATATTTTGAGCTCACTTCATGTTTGATCAAGGGTTTTTCTCTGTTTGAAGTCTCCTACTGTCCCTTGTCTCTAATATCTCTTTTAGGGCCATTTTTGCATGATAGATTAGCCCTACTTGTGTTCATTTTTGAGAGTTGTCATAAACTGAAAAATATCTTGTTTTAATCTCATCTTCAAGTTTGTTTGAGGTCCCATTTTTTTTTGAGATCATATGCCTCCTTGTATGCTTGATTGTCTCTGATTTTGAGCCCTACACCTAAGCTCTTGTTGCATGCTTTGTTTGGCCATCTAGTCACTGAAATGCAGTGGATTTTCAGTGGCTAACACACCGTTTTGAGCCTCCAAATTAGAGGGGGGTGACCCCCTCTCACCTTGTTTTGTTTGATGGTCATTTTGGCCTTCCAAAGAGGCCCTATCTTGCATGCTTTGTTGATTGATTTCAGGGCCAATTTGGTGAGTTTTAGGGCTACCATATTTGATTTTCAGAGTTTTTTGTGCCATTCTAAGTGTCCTTGATGCATGTGCTTAATAACCCCTTGTATGCCCTTCCAAAGGAGCCCCTCATTTGTGCATGTGTTAGCTGCATTTCCATGCTTATTTAGGCATATTTTGGCATGTTTTGTTCATTGATTTTTTCTGATTTGGTGAGATTCCATATGCTTCATACACTTGCCATGTAAACCATGTTTGCTAGTCGAACTTGTATGCTATGTTAGGCCATCTTGCTAACATCTTTTGGCCATGCTTTGAACTGGAAATATGCATGTTTTGGGACTGCCTTGGCTCTGTCTTCATGCTTCATACTCAAAAAATGCATGCTTTGTATAGCTATAAGTCATTCCATGTGCCTAGTTTCGAGTTTCGGGGTTCATCTCATGCATCGGGTGCCATTTTTCCATGTTTCGGGGCCATTTTGTATCATATTTCAGCGCTGAAATTTGCATGTTTGCATACCATGTTTCATGCCTTGCCATGCCTTGTTAGAGTTGCATACTATGCCTTAGGTTCAGTCCTCGGTTTGCATGCATGTGTGCACGCATTTCGATAGTCTCATTTTCATCTCATGGCTACTGATGTGAGTGTGGCTGAGGTCCACTCATATTGGTGTAAGTCCATTGTGCATTGTGTATGCCATTTCATTTCATAGCATTGAGTATGCTAGGTTGTATGTTATAGCATTGTGTATGCCATGTTACATCGAGCATTGTGTATGCCATTTCATAGCATTGTGTATGCTAGGTCGCATGTTAGGATTGCATTCATGCATGTCATGCATATTGCATAGTGTTTGGGATAGGAGTTAGCCCAAACACGGGAAACGAGGGACGTTTCGTACTCCGAGTAACGGAACGTGTCTCAATTTCCTGTTGCCGACACTCCGGATTACCCATGATGGAGTTTAGGCCTTGTTGTGTCCATATGTGCATTCATTTCATATTGAGTCGTGCAAATCGACTCCTCGGCCATCATGCATCGAGATGCGTGATTGGTGGCACGAGGATCGAGGACTACACTCCCTGAAGAGTAGTCATGCATACATATGTGAAAATACTTTGCCATGCCCTTTGTTGCTCTCTGTTGCAGCAAATCAGAAATCGGTAGCCTTCCGGAGCTTGGCATGCATCCCGAGAAACAATTGCAAAAGAGACAAACCGGGGCATCGTAGAGAATTTTCCGACAAAGGCAACCGAGCATGCATCATTCATTATTCGGAATAGAGCTGAGGCGGTCCACAGATTTGCGTGCCAATTTATTGCTTTCCTAGATTAATTTGTTAATTAATTAGGGTTTTGGTAATTATTTGGACTGTAATATTCATTCGGGACTGTACATTATTTATTCGGACCCTCCGAGTGAGGGCACAATTGTAATAAGTGTGCGTGCGTGTGATGTATGTCTTCCAACCCCACGTCTTTCTCCCTTTTATTTACCCGCTTATGATGGTTAGATTGGGCATGTTTCAATTAGCATACAGTATGACAGCATGTTTGCATTCATTCATTCTGTATTGCATGCACCGGGCTCTGGCGCATCATACTAACTGCATTGTATTTTCAATTCCAAGTTGATACATGTTAGCTGTAGCTTTCCATATGCCATGTTTTAGAAATAGCCGAGCCCTGTTATAGTTACATTTTTTGCATGTGTTGCATTAGGCATTTCTGTATTGTTAGGATCATGCATGGATTTCTAATTAGCTTCTGTTTTGGCTTGGAGTACTCGGTAAGTTTTATGTTTTAGCATCCTTGCATGTGTGTGAGTGACTGTCATGATAGCATGCTTACCATGAGGCTATATGCTTAATGTGATATAACTGCTTGAAATGCCTGTGGGTGAAGATTGGGTTATTTGAGTGGAGCAATTCGTTAAAATGTGTGTTTTAAGCCCACTAGATAGTGGCAAAATCATGTTTCCTTACAGCCCACCTGAGGGTGGCAAATTCACGTCTTAGCCTACTTGCGGGTAGCACCATCAAACCATTTTCAAATAAACAAACATGAAATGTTTTGCTCCAATTCAGGCAACCCACTCTATACTTGTATGCTGTGCGCATCACATAGTAAATCTAGGCTAATAACCGGAATAAGAACGCATAATGTTTTCAAAAATAGATATCATGGTTAGTAGAGGTCGATCTTTGATCGGGCGAGCGGGGGTGCTCACGAACCAATCGTACCCAAGTTCCCGAGCTGAGGCAACTTTGGTGATGACGGACACGTGGTCTTAGGCAACGAGTCAGGGTTTTCTAAATTCCCACAAAATAAAATATTTAGGTGGCGACTCTATATCTGGCAAAGCAGTCCATGTTTAGCACTTTTTTACAAAAAATCTGTTTTCTCAAAAACGATTTGCCGGATTTGGACTCTTTGGTTCAGATTAAGAACCATGACAATTTGAGAGTCCGAGCTGTAGTGAGCCCAAAACGAACGGAACGGGACTCATCCTCCTGGGGCGTTCGGGAACGTCTACAGGCGCCGTCTGTGGAAAGAATGAAGAATAGATGGCCAGTAACAGACAGAAGGAAAGACCACAAGGAGTAAACACATTCAGGTGTATGAATCACAAAAATTAGAAATTTCAACAGATGCAGTAAAGACCACAAGTAATGAAGAATGTTAACAGAATTAAAAAGAAAGAAACAGTAGCTTACCAGAAGAAGGAAAGTCGGAAAGGATTTGCCGATGTCCTACGACGGTTGCAGGAGCAGAAGACCGGTCGAAATCTCCCCGGAAAGGGTGAACGGAGAAGGTTGCAGAGTTTGGAGCTTCAGCAATGGCGGATTCGAAAGAAAGAGTTAGAGAGAGTAAAAGCAAGAGAAATCGAAGGCAATAGTGAAGAAGTGAAGAAAGAGGAAAGAGTTTTGTCGAAAACCTAAAACGGCGGCAAAAGTAATCAATGCGCCTGGAGCAGCGCATATGTCAGGCGACGTGCGCAGAAAAAACGTGGTTTATAGGCGCGTCATAAACACGGACCAATAAGGTGAAGACGCGTGAGAGAAACAGTTGAGTAAATGATGCGTGACAGCTCACACATATGAAGAAGTTCACTGGAATTCTTGTTCTCCGAAGTGAACATGTCGGCCTGAAGTGAATGATCTCGGTTGAGGAGTTTTTGAGCCAATATACAGAAAGAAATATCGATATAGGTACCATCACCTCAGGATACCGAGGTAATAGAACCTAGGGGGCAGTTGTGGGGATATATTTTCTGAGTACCAACACGTGGACAAGGTGACGCCGATGTGTCAGCCGAGGTGCCACGTGTCCTGGTCATTGCGCCAAGGTTATCTCTGAAGATATCGGAATCCGAGATAAACGGATAAGAGATAAGGGACAAGAGTCCTAGAATAAAGAGGAGACTTAGCCAAGATAAGGATAAAGCTCTTAGGGAGTTTATCTTTATCTCTTGAAGAATCCAAAGTAAGTATTGAATTGGAGTCCATAGAAGTCAGGCTTCTAGTGGGACTGGGAGGAAGTTAACTATAAAAGAGAGGCACCCCCGTGGGTCTAAGGTACGCAGTTTATGCTTTGAATAGTGAGTTTAGCACTTGATTATCTTTGAGAGATGACTTGATCGTCGGAGTGCCCCCGGGTGGAAGAACCACCGCCGGAGCCTTTTCTTTCTATTACAGGTTTGCTGAAGTCATCTATTCTGCTAGTGCTCTCCAGCTGAATACTGAGTCGGGCAGTGTGGTCAGAAAATCACCCACACAATTTGGCGTTGTAGATGACCCTCACTCCTAAATTCTTGTCAGATATGTAATGTGCAAGAACTGCACTTTTTCCATCAAAAGTGCATCAAGAAATAAACAGGTTATTTGGTGGCTTGGACACACACACACACACACACACACACACACACACACACACACACACATATACACACATAAATGAGTACTGAGATATGAGAAAAAGGGAATCGGCAATGGTGGTGGCGGTGGCGGTGGCGGGATCTGCTTATATCTGTTGTGGCGGAGGGAGGAGGAGGCGGTGAGAGGCGACGAAGGAGGAGGTGGTGAGAGGTGATCCAACTACGGAGGAGGAGACGACGAAGCCATCGCCGACTGCGGAGAAGGAGACAACGACGCCGTTGCCGACTACGCTATCGGAGGAGGAGGAGAAGGAGAGAAAAGAGAGAGTGAGAGAAGAGAGAGTGAGAGATAGACAGATCAGAGGGGAGAGTGAGAGAGACATATCAGAGGAGAGAGTGAGAGGAGAGAGAGATAGATCTGAGGGAAATTAATAAAGGGTATTATGGTAATTTTATTTCGGGGAGAAACGGGACCGAGGATGGGGCCGGGACTTTGAAAGTTATCCCCGTCTTTGGCTCAAAATTGATTGGAGATTCAATTTTAAATACCATCTCCGGCCCATCAAGAATATTTTTCGAGAAAAAATCACTCTTATCAAGAATAGGGGTCGGGTCTCCGTCGGGTCAGGTTTAAATTACCATCTGCACTAACGACGTGCTGCCTGTGTGGAAAATGATGCAAAGTCGTCCATTTCTCTCTCTTTTTTATTCATTTCAAATTTCAAATTCATGTTCACAATTGAAGTCTCTCGCTTTCTATTCTTCCTTCTCTTCTCTGTTGTGACTCTCTTTGGCGACCTCCCCGACGAGCGCAGCTCTCCAACACCGGCGACCCGACGAGCACAGCTCTCCAACCCTGGCGACAATCGAGGTTGAACGCAGCTTCTACAACCCCAGCGACCGGATGAGCGGAGCTACTGACGACAACGAGAGTCACTCACGACGACCAACGACGATCGAGTCTGTCTCCGTCTTCCCACCGGACTCACTTCTCTCGATCTCCATGTCAGTTCTCTCTCTCTCTATCTATATATATATATGCCCTGATTTGTTGAGATTTTTGTGACTTTGATTTGTTGAGATTTGTGTGACTTTGACTTTGATTTCATCTGTTTAGGGGGATTTTGATTTTGATTTTGATTTTGATTTGCCCCAACTTTACATTACATTGGATTTGCGTAAAAAATCGAAAACATATATTTGGTGGAGAATATATAAAAATGCTTAATCATCCTTCAAAGCCACTGCTAAATCTTTCCTTCTTTCTTCATGTTTTTGGTGGACACTGAGTTATTTTGTGGACACTGAGTTACACTAATGAAGTTTGCATCCTATGTCCTGTGTTCACTGAGTTACACTAATTAATTATAGAAATAAATTTTGTGTGGTCTATAGAAATAAATTTTCTGTGCAACTTATTGAGAGAACAATGACCCTAAGTTCTGTCAAATCCATCAACTTTAATTGAAAAAAAAATAAATTCACAACACATTTCAATTGAAGTCACTTTGTTTGGAGGAAATAGAACAGTCTAAAGTTTGTGTCTAATGGGTTACCTCATTTTTTGGATTGATGGGTTAGAGTCATTATGTGTTGTATTGAAATCTTTGGGCACTTGAGTTTATTGCAGAGATTGTAGTTGTCAACATTCTATGAAGGAGAAACTAAATATACTTTTCAATTTGTTGATATGCACATAATAAGCATGTTTCATACAAGCTCTTTTGTTTTTTTACATTAATTTTCTAATTTTGAAGGAGAATTAACAATTTGGTGTAAGTTTAAAAAAAAAATTCAGATCAATGATGAAGTTTACAAACTTCAATAATTAAAATTTTGCATTTTTTCATGAATCTGTAACTATTTTAAAAGGTTACCATTGATTTGTAATTTGTCCATTGATGTGGAATATGTACCTGCATTGATGTGGAATATGATTCTCTAGCCTTTGTAATCCATCCTTTACAAAGTTTCACCCTCATTTTCCCCACATGAAACAAGTGAACAGAATTTGATGAATTTTTGTCCATTCATCTGGGAAATAACTACTTGTAGAACAATGAATATTAGAATGATAACATCTAAATGATACTAGAAATTGAATCAGATGTCCCATTGCAAATAACCAATCTTGGCAGCCAAGTTTTATATTCTGATCATATGTAACTAGTACTTCATGATCATGCTTTATCTGATCATCAGAGAGTGAAAAACAACAAATTCTTCGACGGATTTAAGTTCAACATTGTTGTCAGGTGATGCCCCAAATCCATAATCTTTCGATATACATGCAAATCCCTTAAATTCTCAGTCCTCTTTGTTATATATATATATATATATATATATATATTTTTTTTCACATTCCCATTAGATATAGCTATTGTCTTTCTTATTTATTCATTTATTCGTCTTCTCTAATTTATTATTATTTTTATTTTTTTAACTGCTTGCCTTTTTGCTTCGTTTTCATTTTTGTTTTCCCTTGAAATTCTGGATGCATTTTTACCAATAAGAGATTTTGTGTTATAAAAAAGGGAAAATGGAAGATAAAGTACACATACCCAAGAAAAAAGAAAAGGAAAAGAAGATATATCACAAAATAATTATAACAGAAGATCCTAATCTGGTGGGCTTGAAAGATGCAAGCTTGTCATGAACAATTGCATTTTTTGGATATTTAGGAAGTGGGTATCTGGACAGTTAATTGTAGATGAAATTGTGGCAAAGAACTCTTTGAAGTTTGATTTTTGACAGAATTTTTGGTTACAGCATTGATACGGTCAACCATATTCATGGACGAATTAACCAAACGCGTTATGAATTAATCCAAACTTTAGATACATCTTTTACTCATTTCCTCTCCCCCAAACAATCCACTATTGACTCATCAATCTGACTCGTTTAACTCAGTAGAAGTTGGGAGTTCACATTGAGTAAAACAGGTTCTGGATTTCTGGTTATGGAATCAATCAATCAATCAAAGAACGAGGAAGAAGAAGAAGAAGTGTTTGGATTGGAGTTTTGTTTGACCCATCCTGGGTTTCTCTTTCTATATCTACACATATTTATATATATATATATATATATATGCTTTGTGCTATAAATTTTTGTGTTTTAATCTTAATGTTGTCTCAGATTCTCTGTTTCATTGTTCTGCAATCACTGTCTGTGTTTGAGCTAGATAAAATTTTTAGGGTTTTTATTAAAATTTGTAGATTGAATGAGAATTAGCTGTTAAGGATAAAGAAGCTATGGATTTGGGAATGATGAAGTAGAAAATTGCACTGGTGGGTTAATTTTGTTTATTACTAATGTAGCTAGTTATCTATTTTTAAGAACCTTTTTTTGTCTTTGATATAACAGAGCAAATTTATGAACATAGTAGCGAAGCCAATGGAAACTTTTGGTGGACTAATTTGAAGAAAAGGAAATGCAAACCCTTCATTAATTTTTTCTGTTTAATTTGATTCTAAATTTGAGTAAAAAACTTGATTTGATACAAACTACTCCAAGCTTTTCTTCAAAATCAAAATCTTTTTAAAAATTCCCCTCTTACCTCAATTTCCCCTTTTCATTAGATTTGATGGGGGAAAATCATCTCCAATGCTTTGTCTTTTTAAATTTTCATCAAATTTAAGTTTAATGAATTCTCAAAAAAAAAAAATGACTTCCTTGATTTGATGAACATTTGATGAAAGGATTGGAGATGATTTTTGAGCACTTTTTTATCAAATTCTGAATGGTTCTTTTTAGGAGATCGAAATGGTAGGAAAAGGTGCAAGTTTTATGATATAACCTTTTAATAGAAAAAATGATTTTATCCTGTGGCAAGAAAGGGTGAAAAACATTCTAACACGGGAGGGTTTGGTGAAAGCTCTCAACAAGAAGTCCAACAAACCGGCAGACATAAGGGATGACAAGTGGGAAGAGTTGAGAGAATTGGCAAATAGCACGATCCAGTTATATTTCGGGAATAACACACTCTGAGAAGTCATCAATGAAGAATATCCGACAAAGCTTTGGGCAAAGTTGGAAATGAGATAGAAGTCAAAGTCCTTGACAAATCAGTTGTCTTTGAAGAAGCAGTTGTATGCACTTCAAATGATAGAAGGACCAAACCTTACAAAACATCTGAACAAGTTTAACAGGCTCACATTGGAGTTGGATTCCATCGGGGTGAAGATCGAGAAGGAAGATCAGGCTATTATCTTGCTGGTCTCCTTACCTTCATCATATGAGCATCTCAGGACTACTCTAATATACGGAAAGGATACTCTTGGACTAGATGAGGTGGTTGCTACGCTTATTTCTTATGCGACGATGAAGAAAAAGGAAAGCGGCAAGCACCTAGAGGGAAATGCCATGGTTGCCTTAGAAAATGATCAGGGCAGAGGTAGGTCCAATGATAGATGGAGTAGGTCCAAACCAAGAGGGGATTCACAATCAAGGCTAGTCTATAGGAGAAAGTGCTACTATTGTGATTAGGAGGGTCACCTCATTAAAGATTGTGTAATCCTCAAAGAGGATAAGGCAAGTAAGGAAAATGCGAGCTCATCAAATGTCGCAACTGTAGTGAATGCTAAGGATGAGTATGCATTCACAGTTTTGTCGAGTATGACGAAACCTGATTGGATTTTAGATTCCGGTAGGATGTACCGTATATGCATGGAGAAGAGATATTTTTTCACCTACTAAGTGATGGACGGAGGTATTGTTCGGATGGCTAACAACACTGTGAGTAAGATTGTTGGTGTGAGAACAGTACGGCTCCAAATGGAAGATGGAAAAATTTTCACTTTGGATGGGGTCCAACGCGTGGCGAGATTGAGGAAGAAACTAATTTCCCTAAGTATGCTAGATTTGAAGGGTTACAGCTTTTCATCTAGCAATGCAAATCTCAAAGTTATCCATGGGGATATGGTGATGTTGCATGGATGACTAAAGGGGAATTTGTACAGACTTGTAGAGAAAGTCGTGACAAAAGGAGCTACAGTCACTCACCGGGCAAGGAGTACAAGATATGCGCAGAAAAGACATAGGGATCATACATGGCAACTAAAGTGTATAGGAACTCATGGAGGCAATCCGAAGGTGCATAGAATGGAGCCATTGAGGCCAATCTTGAAGAAAACTCAGAGCAAAAAGACCAAGACGGCAGAGCACGTCCCAATAAAGAAAAGAGTTTCTTTTGCTCCTGTATTAGAGACATATTGCGATCTCTCCAAGAGTGTATGGAAGGGAGAGATGCAATCACAACGGGTTGCAAAATAAGCTTTGCATGGCACCCTAGTGATGGGGTGTAGGGCACTCCAAGCAAGGGTTGCAGACATCCAATTAGGGGGTGCTAGTGTGGATCACCTCACATAGGTTAAGGGGGGTGATTTGTAGAATATCACCCCATGTGAGGGGTGATCTTTCTCTCCACTGAAAGCAGTTGAAAACAGCCAACAGGAGGAGCTCGTCTCAAGGTACCGAAAGAGGAAACAACTGGCCATCTGCAAGGCCAACCAATCTCTCCATTTTCTTCCTTGGTGTATAAGTATAGGGAGATGTGAGAGTGTGAGGAAGAAGGGAAGAACACAAGTAATATACAAGTGAGTGTGTATCTCTATGAAGGTGAGGGAAAAACCAGTGAGTGTAAGGCAGTAGCGAGTGTGTGAATTGAGTGAGAGAGTCTCCTCCTCTGTTGTAAGCTTTATTTGTTTTAGTGGAAATCTCTGGTTTTCTCTGTGGACGTAGGCATTGAGGCCGAACCACGTAATCTTGTGTTCATTATTGTGTGTTTGATTTCTGGTAGTTTAGGTGGGTTGGCCTTAAAACCCAACAATTGGTATTGTTGTGATTCTATCTTTTCATCATTTACGGCATGATTTATTATTATTTTATTTATTCTCTCAAATCCCTTCTCCACAACCACACACAACATTGGTGTTAGTCCCAATCAAGACTGGTATCTAAAGGGTTGTTTAGAGTGTCCTAAATAAGTGAACTTTTTGTCTTTTTAAACTAAAAAATTGAGAAAAAAATATGAATTTTGGGTTAACTTTTTGATTTTTTATGAAAAAATGTATATTAAAAAATTATATAAATTAGTGTGTACTGTCTGCGCAGGCTGAATTGATGATAAGAAATACTTGCCTACTTTTCGGGCATTACATTGAACGGTGTTGTTCGGCCCGCGAGGGCCATCATGGGTCCTGTTTTGATAATCTGGACCGTTCAATGTGTAGAACTCGTCGAGTACTATATGTTTATAAAAATCACGTTGATCGGATATTGATAGTTATCTGATCGGATTAGTTTTTTTTCAATTGTTAACTATAACACCATCCTTTTTTATACAAAACTGATTTGATCATATAGTTAGCGATATCCGATCAACGTGATTTTTTAGAAAGCATATAGTACTCGACGAGTTCTACACATTAAACGGTTCAGATTATCAAAACGAGACCCGTAATAGGCCCCCACGGACCGAACAACATTGTCTTGTGTAAATTTGTTGTACACCCGTATGTAATTTGTACTGGGACAAACATCACTGTGTCATACATTCATGACTTGTACTTTGCATCAATTTAAATTTATTTTTTTATATTTTTAATTTGTGCATAGTGATAACTTTTTAATTTTTTAAATAATTTTTTAACTTTTTATCTTTTTCAAGACATGCCAAACCAGCCCTTAAATACAACCTGATATTGAGATATTGAGACTGAAGGCTATAACATTGGTTCAATTGGATGACATTTGTGGTGACCAGTGGTGAAAAATCTATGGTGGGAGTGGTCATTACACTTGATAGGAGGAATTGATGATGGCTCTGATGGTGAAGAGTGTCTAGAAGTGGGTTAAGAGGGAAATGATATGGAAGGTGACGAGGTGTGGCAAATTAGGTCATTCCATTTATTTTAGAAAGGTAATATTGTAAATCACCATTTGCCGTCAACCCCGTTTACGACACGGGTGTCAGTGTAATTTGTGAAACATGAAGGGAAAATTTATATTAAATGTAAACTTCAGGGATGTAAATGTAATTTACCTTGAATTGAATATAATTATATTAAAATTGTAAAATTTATTATAATTTTTTTAAAATTTCATAAAAGGTGAGAGTAATTTATCCAAATATATAAGAAGTCTTTTTTGATATGGGTAGATTACATTGACACCCTCTAAGGTTTGTCTTTAATATAAATATCATCCTCACGTTTTAAAAATTACATCTCCTCCTAAAAATTTAAACTTTTATTACAATTTAATCATTCCGTTAGTCAACCGTCAAGTTAACTAACGAAAAAAACTAATATAAAAAATTAATTTTTTTAAATATCTATTTTACCCTTATTTATCATATCCTTTTCCCTTTATCTTGTCTCTCTCTAATCTCTTTCAAAAAAACAAACCAAACCCACCATCAACCCTCTACCTCCAAACCCACAATCATCCATCTTGCTCTACCTTCACTGTTAGCCTCATCAATATAAACTCTAGGACAAAATTCATTATTTAATGTTGATACCAAAACATCTTTTAAAATAAAAATAAAAATACTAGATGAGTAAAGAAAATTTGTAAGAGATTACAAAAATTCATTTAATACATATATTATTATACTATTAAATATTTAGGTAATGATATAGTACATAAACTTTTGTGGTGTTAATTGTCGCAAATATTATAACAATTTTCAGCCATAACTAAACAACACATAAGGTATAATCAAATATCTTTTAAGTTGTAACCAAAATAATGTTATAATTAATAATTATAACTAACACCATAATAGGTCACAACTAAAGACCACGAGTTAGGCTTATAAAATTTTTCTAAAAAGTAAATTGTTTGTCAAATTTATATATAGGTAATATATAAAAACTTTTTAAAGAGATTATACATTAATGATGAGAAAAAATTATAATAAACATAACTTTAAGGGTGTCGATGTAATTTACCCAAAATTAAAAAATCAACCCACGGCTTGGTTAAATAGTGACACTTTCTGTGACTCTAGTTTCTCACTAACTAATCAATGGATGGAATTCAAAATTTTCTGATATTGTAATTTTGATTTTGACATAAAAAAAGACACATTTCTGATCCATTTGGATATCCACATTTTGTTGCTATGACTACGCATATAAAGAGCTGACCTGTCTGCTTATCTGTGCAAGCAAAGCAAAACGATCACCTGTGTGAGTCGAGTATACATAGAGAATCTGTATCTATCGATTGCAGAGCAAGGGTTTGTGTTTGTGTTTGTGTTTGTGTTTGTTTGAGCACGGAGGAGAGAGAAAGTGGGAGGTTTGCGATGGAGAGTACTCTCAAGGACAACACCGTCGCCGGCGGCGTTGAGGACATGTACGGTGAGGATCGGGCCACCGAGGAGCAGCTCGTTACCCCCTGGACTATCTCTGTTGCCAGGTTTTGTTCACACTTCACCTACCGATCATCTCTTCATGATTGATGATGTAATTTGATGTGGTTTTTGGCTAATTCTTTCTTTAGTAGACTTGTAAAGTCTCGTATCTCAGTCGTTAATTTTGAACGAAACGGTTGAATTTGTTGTGAATTGATGCGGCGATGGTTTGGATTTTGCTGGATTTGAACTTGTTGATTGCATGCAAAGGCTCTGATTTTGATGTCGTTCTCTGATTTTGTAAAGCTTCCGTGGCGTTCAACTTCGATTAAATTTTATTTATTTATTTATTTATTTTTTTTGACTTCCGAAATTATGATTTGTACTGATCTAAAATAAAAGCAACTCAGCTTTTCTGTGGACCGGTCCAGTTCAGGAGGACCGTCGACCCACCATATGCCCCAAATCGGGACCGTTAATTTTGTAGTATCTTATGTGTAGATTATCCATACAAAAAAATAAGATTGATCCGGGAGTTTTAGCCAATTGATCGAACCATATTTGTTTAAAAAAAAAATCAACGGCTTGTTTTTAAAGTTATATTTGTTGTTCATTGTTTTGAAAACAAAATCATGTACTAGAATTATCTGATCAATCTTTTTTTGTTTTTGCTTTTTTTGGATGATTTACAAAAGATCAACCGATTCAATAATAAAAAAAGAGGCCTATGATGGGCCCACGACCCGAACAGGACTGGTCCAGTGGACTGGACACAAGTCTCGAAATTTTTCTCCCATTCATGTGTCATAGACCAGAAGGAGATTTTCATTCCTTGTCTACTGTTTCCAGTTCCAATATTTTCCATGCCACAACAATTCGAAATAGAGAATCATAATTGTATAATTGTACAATTGTATATATATGAAGGGACATAACAGGATTTTGTGGGCAGGGGGCCAGATTCAATATACCGTGTACTATATTTACAGTGTATATACAATATTTGGATTGCTGGATTGCTAGATTTCTTGTTATTGGAAGTATATGTACAGTATTTAGATCACTAGATTTCATAATATTGAGATAGATAGACAGGGGAGGGTAATCAAAGGGAGAAAGTTGGGAGAGAGGTTAGAAAGTGAAGAACTAAATCAGAATGCATATATATAACATATAGTATAGAAAAGGTGGAGAAAACTATGCATCTTTTTACAGAGAAGAACGTGCCAATATCCGAAGATAATGTGTGTGTTGATATACTACCACTCAACAGTGTATAAGTAGTATTTTGCACACCTCATTATCTCTATTTAGTTCTGGTCCTGTAATGTATATATACATGTATATTTGGCATGCTGCCATTGTTGATGATCATTGTAATGGTCTTCCATCACTAATTTGTCTTCTTTTTCTTTTCCCCTATTTTGATTGTGTGCTCCAGTGGGTATTCTTTATTAAGGGACCCACACCACAACAAAGGGCTTGCATTCACTGAGAAGGAGAGGGATGCTCATTACCTGCGTGGTCTGCTTCCACCAGTGATGATGAGTCAAAAGCTTCAGGTTAACGACATCAACTTTGTGTTTTGGATGCTTCTATCTTATCACCAGTTATCATTCTTGTTGAAATTTTCTCATTTGACTTATCAGGAGAAGAAACTGATGGAAAATATTCGCCAATATCAAGTTCCACTGCAGAAGTACATGGCCATGATGGACCTTGAGGTGCCTTTTTAGTCTACATCAATCCCCAGTTGTAAATTTGAAGCTGATTGGCATATGTGTTGCATGCTTAGATGCTGCATGGATATGAATTGATTTTGTTTTAATTAGCATCTGGAGGAGCATTTATGTCATTAGCTTTTTTTTAATTTTTTATACCCCTTTTCAGTGTGTGTTACAAACCGCTTTTTTTAAATTTTTACTTGAAAGAAGGGATTCTTGCTTTAAGATACTAGAGAAAACAAAAGCATGTAATTGCATTTAATGTAGCCTTTGAAAGTAATAAAAATGGATGTGGGAGGTGGGAAATTTCTGTCCTTGTTGTTTATTATATTTTATTTATTTTAAATCTTTTGTTCTTTCTAATGGCTTTGGTTTACAGGAGAGGAATGAGAGGCTATTTTACAAGCTTCTTATTGATAATGTTGAGGAACTTCTTCCTGTTGTCTACACTCCAACTGTTGGCGAGGCTTGCCAGAAGTACGGGAGCATTTTTAAGCGCCCTCAGGGTCTTTATATTAGCTTGAAAGAGAAGTATGACTTTCTTTCAGCTGTACATGTTGCCTTTTTCACACCTCACGTTAGCAGAATCCTCATGCACTAGGTCATTTTTGTAAGAAGTATGTTGCTTTTGCAGAGGAAAGATTCTTGAGGTGTTGAAAAACTGGCCTGAAAAGAGCATTCAAGTTATTGTCGTGACTGATGGTGAGCGAATTTTGGGACTTGGGGATCTTGGCTGCCAGGTGAATGTTCATTTTCCATTTTGTTTTAGTATATAGATAATTACCTTCCAAATGCATAATTATTTTTTTGGTTCATCTGCCAAATGCATAATTAATTGTAAAAACCAGAAGGTAGAGTATTTACATGACAGTTTTTTCAGTGGTTCCTTGTTCGCATTAGTTATGGTACTAATCTAATACATATTTATCTTCTTCCTAGGTATTAATTGGAATGCGTCTCTGTCTATTAATAGGCAGGCATTTAATTCAGATGGCCTGTTGTGGCAAACGCCTGTTAAAATGCATTTGTAGCTAATAACAAGCTTAATTTTTATCAGGGGATGGGGATACCTGTTGGAAAACTGGCTCTGTATACAGCACTTGGCGGAGTTAGACCTTCTTCGGTAAGTGTCACCAGCAAATCATATACAGTTGTAGATGCTCATTTTAGTATATCTTATTTGAAACCTTTACTACAGTACCGATGAAACTGTGTTAATATGTGTGTTTAATTTTCGGTACTGTGTCAAGAAGTAAATGCCATGCTATAGTAGTCAGCTTGACCATATAATATTGATTGGTTTTAGCACTATCCTCTCCTTTTTACCATTTTAGTAACGATCTGTTTACTTGCCTGTGCAGTGTTTGCCCGTAACCATTGATGTGGGGACAAACAATGAGCAGTTGTTGAAAGATGAATTCTACATTGGGCTCAGACAAAGGAGGGCAACTGGGAAGGTCCAATAGTTTTAGCATTTTATTGTGTTTAGTTACAAGCATTAAGATACATTATGTAATTCTCTTTAATACTGAGGCAGTTTTGTCAAATTGTATTCCAGGAATATTATGACCTTCTTCATGAATTCATGACTGCTGTCAAGCAGAACTATGGTGAAAAAGTACTCATACAGGTGGATTTGCATCCTTAATCTGAAAAAATTTCAGGGCCTGATCTTGTTCTTGCAGTTCTAATGTTGGTTTGATTTGCTACCAATGCTTTACAGTTTGAAGATTTTGCAAACCACAATGCTTTTGAGCTGCTAGCGAAATATAGTACTACTCATCTTGTCTTCAATGATGATATACAGGTATGTGATAATATGGTCGTCGTTCAAATAACCTTGAGGAATCCCATGTTCTTGTCTTAACTTTTTTTTTCCCCACTTTTGCAGGGGACAGCAGCTGTGGTTCTTGCAGGGCTTGTTGCGGCACTGAAGTTACTTGGTGGATCCTTGGCCGAGCAGACATTTTTATTCCTTGGTGCTGGGGAAGTGAGACTCTAATCTGTCTTCCTTCTTTTACACTATAAACCTATTTTCCTCTAGGGGCCACTGGACAGAATTCCATCTCTTTACTCAAAAATGTCTCTCACTTCTAGTTTCTTCCAGTTGTTTTCAGCACTCCTGATTCTGATATAGTTTTGCATTCACTAAAAAACATGAAAAATAGGGAGAGAAACCGAAAGAAAAAAAGAAGAGTACTCTAGGGAAATGTGTGTGTTTGTTCATTTCTTGCCTTTCCATTTTGTTCTTTACCTTTTTTCAACTTTTTTCTTGGGCAGTTCTAATTTTTACGTATTTTTTTGATTCATCTCTTTCCTGGAGTGATTGGTTCTGTATGTTATATCAAGCATCAAAAGAAGAATTCATTATGAATTTTATCTCTCATTTTTTGTCCTCTGGAATCGCAGGCTGGAACTGGAATAGCAGAACTTATTGCTCTTGAGATGTCAAAACAGGTACTCAATAGTACCAATTTGCTACCATATGCATGTTGTCTGAGAGTTATTTCATTGGGTATAACATAGATCTCTCTACGTGGTGGTTGGTTATTCTCTTCTTTTGTTTTTTCCATTATAGAGCAAAGCTCCTTTGGAAGAGACCCGTAAGAAGATCTTTCTTGTGGACTCAAAGGTAGTGAAAGTTCTAGTCAAAATTTCTTGCTTAACATCAAGTGTTGACTCTTTTACGAATATATTTGTACTTTTCTTTTCTTATCAAAAGAGAATTCAAAAAAATTTTTTTTTTTTTTAAAAATCTTATCTCTTGCAGGGATTAATTGTTAGTTCTCGCAAGGATTCCCTTCAACACTTCAAGAAACCTTGGGCTCATGAACATGAACCCGTCAAGGATCTTTTAAATGCTGTCAAGGTTTGATGAATTCCTATTATGTCTAAATTTAATCATAAGAAGATAATTTGGAGTGATTTTAATTTTTCTATTTCATTTTCAAATGTCATCAGGCTATCAAGCCGACAGTTCTAATTGGATCATCTGGAGTAGGACAGACATTTACAAAAGAGGTGATTGAGGCCATGGCCTCATTCAATGAGGTACTCTCTCTCTCTCTCTCTCTCTCTCTCTCTCTCTCTCTATGAACTATGTTTTCAGCTTGAAGTTAGATTGTTAATGAATGGCATGCAGAAACCTGTCATTTTGGCTCTTTCCAATCCAACCTCGCAATCCGAATGCACAGCTGAAGAAGCTTACACCTGGAGTCAGGTACAAATAAACATGAAGTTTCTTATCTTATATTTTCCATTACGATGCTTTAATGCAAAGTGATGTTTGATTACACTAAATATTTTTATAAACTAACAAGTTCTGTTTTTCCTCTGTTTTGAAATAAGGGCCGGGCAATTTTTGCCAGCGGAAGTCCATTTGACCCAGTGGAATACAAGGGCAAAGTTTATTTACCTGGCCAGGTTCTATAACTTTTACATGACTAGTTTGTCGTGCTGTAGCCTCCTTAATAAATGTGGACTGGACATTAGGGCTGATTTTCTGCCTTCTTTTGGGATCAATCCAGGCAAACAATGCATACATTTTTCCTGGATTGGGTTTGGGTTTGGTCATATCTGGTGCAATTCGTGTACACAATGCAATGCTTCTGGCAGCCTGTAAGTACATTACATTAAGAATGATAGGATCCCTTATAAGTTGAATGCAGCTTCCTTTCTGATTAAGATTCCTTTATTTGGTTTGATTTTATTTTATTTCAAGTTATTATGCTTTATTTGTGACTTTTTTGTCCCTTTCCTCTCTGGCCACATGATGATATGTTTCCATTTATGGTTGGGGTAAATAATTATGGTGAATAAGTGAATTAATAACAAAGACTTTCAGGATGTTTAAAAAATGTTTTGATATGTTGCCTCAGATTTCATAAAGAAAAAAAAATTGTTAACAGAGAATACTCGGTGGGTTTAATTCCCCTGACATGTAATCTGGTTCCCTCGATGTGTGAAGAATAATGGAAAACTTAAAGCAAAACCTGTTGAATTACAGCTACTTCTATGCAATGGACATGACAAATGGGTAGATTGGTTTGCACTTGTATCTTTATCGTCTATTTTCTTTTTGGCAGCGGAGGCTTTGGCTGGGCAAGTATCAAAAGAGCATTTTGATAAGGGTTTGATCTATCCACCATTCTCAAATATCAGAAAAATCTCGGCACATATTGCTGCTAATGTAGCTGCTAAAGCATATGAACTCGGTGAGTATCATTTCTTGCCATATTTTTGCTTTGGTGTTGTGGTTGGCCCTAGAAGCCCGTGTTTATTTGATAAAATTACACTATTTTGTAGGTGTGGCAACACACCTCCCTCAACCTGAGAATCTGGTGAAGTATGCTGAAAGCTGCATGTACACCCCCAATTACAGAACCTACCGATAAATTTGTCAGTAAAATCTACAGCTTGTAGTCATATATGTACTTCGTTTCAAGTTCTGTTTATCTTCTTGTTTGGTGTGCCTTTCCTTTTTCCTCAACTTTCCTGGTAAGTCATGGTGTTGTAAGCTGTAGCTACGAGCAACCATGATTTTAAGAGTATGGGTTGATTCAGTTTGAAACCAGTTGGTTTCAGTGAAATAACAAGCTGTGGAAAGTATGGAGACGACCCTGAGACTGCCATGTGAAGTAGTGTCCTGCCCTGAGGATTTGCAGTGCAGTGCTTCATTTCTTCATTCCTAGGATGTGTTGGTAATTTGTGTGTAATTGTAATGCTAATACTGTGTGTAATGAATCAAAGCCTGTGGTCTTTGGCCATTAGGCTGCAATGGTATCTTCACCATGGATATATTTTCTCAGTTAGCAAATGTTGGTAATGGCGTAACCTGGTGGTGGTTTCAATTTTTTGAAGACTGAAAACTATTTTTTTTAAACAAATTTAATGGAATAATAATGAAAAATACTCTTTATCTCTTTGTTTATTTTGCAAACCTCTCCCCAACCCTTTTCTTCACCCTGTACTGCTACCTCTGCCCTCCCTTGCCACCACCACCACTTCTAGCCCCCTTTTCTGCCCACCCTCCACCCCTCCCCGACACTTCACTCCCGACCATTACTTCCTTACCCACCTTTGCCATTCCCACCCGACCGAACACCGCAGACGACCCGAGCCCTAATCACCGACGTCACCCAAAACCCTCCAGTTCCTCGCCATCACTCCAAACCTCTTAATGACACATCTGCAAATTCTAAGAAATGCGAGTGGCATACGTGTGAAGTGTAAGTCAAATATGTGTGAGGTGCAAATCTGATATTTGTATGTCCAATATGTGGGAGGTGCAAATCTAATATTTGTGTGGTGTGAATGAAAAATGTGTGGGTTTGTGCACACGACTAGTCACTCTTAAAAAAATTCTGCTTGCTTCGAAAATCTTGAAATTTATTTTGGGCATTTTATTGATACCTCTCAAACATTATTACGAAATAATTTTTAAAAATTCAATTCTATTGATTCGATAAATAAAAATATTGGTAAATATAAAATGCTTTTATCAACCTTTAACATAATATCATCACTACCATTAAAATTAATACCATCACTCTCACTATATTTTTTTATTTTTCAAAACAAATTTATTATGATTTTAAATACAAAAATTAAATAAACAAGATTCGAAAATAATTTTAAAGATTCTAGTTGCTCCAAAAATCATAAAATTAATTTTGAAGGTTTCTAAATATACGTTTAACAAGCATACAAAATAATTTTCTAAAGTTTGATTTTATTGGTTAGACAAAAAAAAAGGCTTCATGTAATGAAACATGCAAATATAAAAATATTTCCACTAACCTTGAACACAATGCTACCATTATGAGGGAAATTATATTTTCACACACTTACTTATCTCAGTGTAGATCATTTTTCAATACACACTTATTAATTTGATTATTAATTATTTACTCCTCACTCATATCATTGTACACACACCATCTCAATCCTCCTTTCACACGCTAAAAATTGTAGACCCATTGCTACAGTTCCATTCCAGACAAAGAAGACCACAGTCCTCCATTGAAGACCTTTATTCCATTAAAGACCCCATTGAAGGTATTATCATAAATAAATAAAAAATTTATTATGAACCAACAAACTAAAGACCAAAAACAAAAAAAAAAAACAAAACAAAACAAAAAAAATCAAAGAGAAATATTCTCATGATGATTCTAAAATATTTCAATAGGAAAATAAAACAATGAAAAAATAAAAGGAGACAATCTTCATCTCTTTCTTCCTTCAATTTGAAGCAATTTCATACTAAACACAAATAAAAACCAAACATGCTACCAGAAGAACCTATCTTTATCCAAATTATCAGTTAAAATCCCACTAATATCTTGTATTCATAAATTTACATTCAGTTGCACATGAATTTTCTCATCAACTTAGGATCCATCATCCCACTGAACATTCTCGAAATTGAAACAGAAACCAATACAATTATATGAAATCAAAAACTATTCCACTCGCGATCGCTCTTCCATGTTTGGACAACGAATTAGGGTTTAGATTTTGACGAATCGACAAAGATCAAATGACAATGAGGTGAATTTTAGATGAAATTGAGGGGTTTAGACAATTGGGAACAATGGAGAGAAATTAGGGTTTAGATTTTTTTAATGTGTTAAGATTTTTGTATTTTTAAAAGATGTATATAGAGAATATTTTAATATAATATTATGAGTGTGTTTTGATGTCCATTATAGCCATTTTATTTTAGAGTATAATTGTTATTAAAATAATATTCTATTAAGTGTGTACAGAGATAAATAATGTATGAAAGTAGAATTTTTCCCATTATCATTACTATTACTATTACCATCACTAATGGCCACAATACTTCCGATTTTTTACATTGAATTTCTTATAATTTTAAATATAAAAATCAAATAAGCAAAGATGCAAAATTGATTAAAAAAATCAACTTCAAAAATTACAAAATTAACTCTGAACGTTTTTAAAATTATATATACTTAATTAGCATATAAAATAGTTTTTTAATTTTTAATGTAGTACTTTGATAATAAAAAAAAAGAATTTGTACAATAAAATTTCACTCTGCAAATATAAAAATAATCCCACTAATCTTGAATACAATGTTGCTACCAACATTACTAACTACCACAATGATCATAATCTACTTTTCTTAATCAAATAGCTTATAATTTTAAATGTTTAAATTAAATAAAGAAGAATTAAAAATGATTATAGAAAAATCTAATTATGAAATGCAACCATTGACCAAGTGATTGTGATTGGCAACGTGATATCGTGGCATCCGTATTCCAATCCATTACCATTGACAAAGTGATTATGACAATTAGGCGGGTGTAATAGATATTTCGAGTTGGTTAAGTCGATCGGATTGAATTGATTCGTCATATTTTGGATAGATGTATGATGATGAGTGAATGATTATGAATTGATTTTTTTTAATTTGCTTAGTTTTGAATAGATGACAGATTTGAAATTCTTTTGGCCGTAATCGAACCATCAAATCACAAGTACTCTTGGTAATTTATCAGACTTTATATTTTCAATTTGTTTAGATATTTTTTGTTACTTTCAATTGAAAAATAATTTAGGTATTCTGTTGTATTTTTAATTTGTTTTCAATTTAAAAATCCTTTTATCAAATGACAAGTATTGATATTTGATATTTTTGTGTGAAAAATATAAGGGTTAATTTTGTCAATTTAAAAAAAAGTCAAATTAAATAGTGTTTAAATAAAAAAAAAGTAATTAAATAATTTTGATAATACATAGTTTTCTTATATGTGTTTATTATTGGTATTTGACAATTTACCTGATAATCTTTTAAGGGCAAATTACACTAAAGGTCCCTATAGTTTGATATTTGTGTCACTTTAGTCCCTAACTTTTTAATTATGACACATTTAACCATAAATTTTGAATCTTGTTTCAAATAAGGACAATTGAATATATCGTTGCTCAATTTCAATAGCAAATTCGTCAATTTGATAAAATATAAACTAATTTGACAAAAATAAATGTCAAAAATTATTTTTAAATTTTTAAAAATTATTTCTACCCACTAATGATAGAATTAGGTAAAATTGATAAATATTTTACACATTTATTTATTTTTTTAACAAATTAATTTTTATTATATATTTGGATGACGATCATGTAATGGGTGGTTGTTTTTGTTTTCATTAAATTAGTTTATATTCTTTCAAAAGTAAAATATGGTGAGAATTTTGATATCATTATCAAATCATCCATTAAATCAAAAAATCCAAAACTGAAAACATTTCATATATTAAAATATATCGATTACACATTAAAAGCCTAGCAACCACCCATTACATGATCATTATCTAAACACATAATAAAATTAGTAAAAAAAATTAAATAAATGTGAAAAATTTTTATCAATTTTACTTGATTTTATCTTTGATAGGTAGAAATTATTTTTAAAAATTTTAAAATATTTTTTTGATATTTATTTTTATCAAATTGATGACTTTACCCTTAAATTTGAGTAATGGTATCTTCAATTATTCTTATTTGGACCAAGATTCAAAATTATGAGTCAAATGTGTCATTGAAAAGTCAGAAATTAAAGTGACACAAGCCCCAAAATATAGGGACTGTAAGTGTAATTTGTCCTTAAATTAGTTTCTATTTTTTCAAAAGTCAAATATAACGACAACTTAGATATCATTATTAAATTAATCCATTAAATCAAAAAATTCAAAATTAAAAACATTTCATATATTAAATATATCGATTACACATTAAAATCTTAACAACCACCCATTACATGATTATCCAAACACATAATAAAAATTAATTTGGTAAAATAAATAAATAAATAAATGTCTAAAAGATTTATTAATTTTACATAATTTTATCTTTGGTCGGTAGAAATAATTTTTAAAAATTTAAAAATATTTTTTTGATATTTATTTTTTATCAAATTAGTTTATATGTTTATCAAATTGACAGATTTTTGCCCTTAAATTAAAGTAATGTATCTTCTAATTGTCCTTATTTGGAATAGATCAAATTTTATGCTTTAAATGTGTCACAATTGAAAAGTTAGGGATCAAAGCTGACACGAGCCCCAAACATAGGAAACTGTTAGTGTAATTCAGTTCATCTTATCGTAATTATGTTGAGTTGGATTGTTATCCAAAAAAAAAATATTGACACGTTTTATTATGTTCAAAATTTATAAAAGTTTAAACCGTCAAAAACCATCCGCATCAATCAGCCAATGCTATTCAATCCGCATCCGTCAATCCAGAAGACAGATGCAAGTTTGATTTTTCATTCACCCAACTTCGAAGACAAATAAACAAATTTAGAGATTCTTCTGACCTACCGAACCCCCAAACAGCCCCTAATGAGAATATAAGATTTGGGCTTGTTTTAAAGAGGTTTATCATAATGTCTCATAAATAAAAATTAGACAATCCAACTATAGTAACTTTTATTTTATTGTATTTGTTTTAAAAAGCTTAAAATAGTCTATTTAAAATTACTTATAGAATTACTTATATAATATATATATATATATTAGAGATAAAACATGATAAATAAAAAACGTTACGTCGACTATAATTTTTTTTTAATAGATAATATACATATAAAAATCTTACAAAATGAAATTAATTTAAATGGATGGGGTAAAGATGTGATTGTTAATTTGAGTCATATTTCTCTCTATCACATCATTTTCCAAACTCAACTCATATTATATATTTTTTTATAAAATTAAAAAAATCATAATTCTATTTAATCATGCCTAACTGACCCCTAAAATATTATTAACTATTTTAT